GTTCAGTACGATATCTAATTGAATACCAGAGAATTATAATAGACCCCACAATAAACCTTTAGGTATTCATTCATATGCTGTTTATATACTGTTGTCAAGGTTTTAGTAGTGAGAAGCTGTAAGTTCAACATAGACTCATGAAATATATTATTTTTAACTTTGTCTTTGTTTTCAAATAATCCTATCATATGATTTGTAAACGTATAAATGTCATGGCTAAAGTTTCTTTTTATTTTGCTGGAATTATTCTCATTTTAACCCTCACACAATAAACATTTACGATGAACATTTCCTTAGAATAACGCGTTAATTGATGATGTACTCCAAAGAAACGTCTATTTATTATTCTATCCAAGTACAATACAGATTTTAATGTGTTACCAGCACATATACTTTGGTATTCCGAATGACTATGGGAACTATTTGAATTATTATTATTATTGATCCCCTGGGTTCCTAGTGAAATATAGGGATTCAGTAGCACGTCTGCATTTCACTCCGCTTCAGCACTCTTTTCAACCTGACTCCACCACTGCCAGCAAGCTTTCATTTCTTCCTCACACCATTTCCTCCATGTCACCCTCGCCTTGGACACCCAACTCTCCGTTTCCACTCGAGGGTCTACCTGGCCTGACACGTCATGTCACCGAATGGTATTCGCAGTGTATGTCTAATCCATTCAAGCTCCAATTTCTTTTTCTACATATTTGTTGACTGATGAGTTCTTGGTTGGTTCGTTGCCAGTCGTAGTGAGTTCCTTGTTGCTTATTCTTTCTCATCATCTGATGTTCAGCAACGAGCGTAGGCAACTGTTGATGAATGTCTGTAATTTGTTGGAAATACTGAACTGTTTCAATACTTTGTACTAATCTACAGACATGCATTATAACGTAGAAAAATAAAACCATTAAAGTTCTCCACAAGAATTAACTCAATAATAAATTAGTGATAACTACTATTATTGTATTATTATTAGTCCGTTGTGTTCCTAGTGGAACATAGGGCTTCAGTAGCACGTCTCCACTCCACTCTGTTCTCTGAGATCTTTTCAACCTGGTTCCACGACAGCCCACAACCTCTCATTTCCTCCTCGCACGACCTCCTCCAAGTCACCGTCGGACATCCAACTCGTCGCTTCCCATGGGGATTCCACTCGAGCGACTGGCCTGAAGCATGATGTCCCCAGTTGGCCTTCTCAGTGCATGCCCAATCCATCTACACTTCCTCCGGCATATTTGTTGGATGATAGGTTCTTGGTTGGTTGTTGCTTATTCTTTCTGGCCATCTGATCTTCAGTAGCGAGCCAGCGTAAGCAGTTGTTGATAAACGTCTGTAGTTTATTGGAAATGCCTTTCGTGACGCGCCAAGTCTCTGAGCCATACAGAAGCACTGACTTACCTGACTGACGTTGGTGTTGAAAATCCGTATCTTGTTCCACATGCTGAGTGCAGAAGATCTCCACACTGGTTTCAGGCTAATGAACGTCTGTCTTGCTTTTCCGATTCTGACTTTGACATCAATGATAACCACTATCTGTAGTTATTCATTCACATTAATACAGACTTCCATTTTATATTTGTTAATGCTGACTTACCAAGCAACAAGAACGTACAATCTCAATTCAATTTTGATTCAGTTATTTCCTATATATTCAAAATATCAGCTAAATTATTGTTTTCTAATGGAACGAATGGAAAATGTAGATCTGAAACAGTTCACTATGCTGTTTATTTACCTAATTCTTATTGTTATTTCTGTATTAATCGATAAAGAAGAACTTTATAAATAATTTATGAGTTACTTTTTAATTGAAAGTGTAAAAATAAAATTCATTTGTGTTTTAATCAGCACTTTCAGTGCTTAAAAGAGTAGTATATCTTCGAGTAGAGAACAAACGTATATATATTATTATTATTTATTATTTGTCCATTGGGTTCGTAGTGGAACATACGGCTTCAGTAGCACGCCTCTATTCCACTCTGTTCTCTGAAGCCTTTTCAACCTGAATCCACCACTGCCAACAAGCTTTCATTTTTACTTCACACCATTTCCTTCATGTCACCTTCACCTCACACGTCCAACTCGTCGTTTCCAATGAGGGTTCCACTCGAGGATCTAGGCTGGTGAGTGATGTCTTCGAACTGTTTTCCCAGTGTATGCCCAATCCATCTCCACTTCCTCCTGCAGATCTGTTGGGTGGTAGGTTGATTTGTTGCCAGAGTTCCTTGTTTCTTGTTCTTTCTCGCCTTTTCATCTGATCTTCAGTATCGAGTGAGTGTAGGCTTGGGCGGCAGCTGTTAATGAATGTCTACTGGGAATATATGTATACTGTAGGTTTCATTCTCTTATAATCCAAAAATTATTCTACCATCCAGTGAAAACATCAACAATTTCCCAAACAATCAACTAAAGAATGGATTGCTGTACACTGAAGTTCAGTGGTGTGAGACATCTTTTCCTTAGGTCTGGTTTTCCTAGTGCTATTCTGTCTAGATATTTCACCTTTGGCCTCAGAAGTAATCAAACACTACTTAATTACTGCAGACTGATACTTGCAATTTCCCATTGGTCTACTGGGTTGGATTGCTTGACCTCTATTGGTAGATGCGCTCCTACTTCGATGCTTTGATACTGGCTGAATATTCATTATATTTCAGTCTAACCAATGGGTGGTAGTGGAATCCAGAAAGCGAGTTTCTTCCTATCACAAGTCTTTTTACACGTCTTGCTAAACAAAGAATAACACCTGTTGCGCAAGACGTGGCTCTAGTGCTTCAGTGGTGTAGTCAGATTTGAAGCGATGGATTTTAGGTTCGAATCTTGATGGGAACATCATCACTCAATGAGGTACTGGTTCCTCTTGTTAACAAGTCTCAAACTGGGTGAAACATCCTTCCTGGACTTTACTTCTAGCCTTCCCACAGACAAGCATAGAAGTGTGTTCTTACACCAATTAACTGGTGATTGGCAATAAATTAATAGCACATTTGATAAGAACAAAATATTCAAATTAACAAAGCGTCTATTGAAACTGACTTAAGAATAAAATAGTTGCTTTCACTTGTTGTTGTAAACTGACATCAGTTGGAGGAAAAAAGGAAATCTGGGGGCACTGGATAGCTGTTTCCTCCTAGTGTGGGACTCCCCAGCAGTGCCCACCCACGACCCCAGCAGCCAGGGATCGAACTGGTGACCTTCAGGTTCCACGGCCAGCATGTTACCATTGAGCAACTGAGTCACAATCCAATGCTTCATATTTCCAAATTCTGTTAGCTAACGATATAGCGCAACCGCCATTGGATTCTGACCCAGTGGCTCAGTGGACGAAACAGCTGTCCAGTGCTCCCAGGTTTCCTTTGTTCCTCCAACTGATGTCAGTCTACAATGAATAACAACTTGAAATATTTCCAAATCTCCACAACTCCCTCAAAATTCACTTTCATTTGTATCAAATACTTCTGTCAGATACTTTCCAATAATAAAGTTAACTTAGCAAACACCTAATATGGACAGCTTATTTTGAAAATCAATGAATTGGAGTAAGGTGATTTCTTTAGAAATATTTTAGCTACACTTAACCACTTAAGTTAATCGTTTTAGGTGAATTTCACGCAGAAATTAGTGTGTAAAGAATTTTGGCATATCTCACTGTTAAATACAGACATATATTTAAGATTTCCTATGATTAACATCGTTACTATGGTAATCGTTGCAGCCTATTATTATAACATACTACCTGATTGACATTTAGTCGGAAAGGTGTTAAATAATAAAATGAACAAATTTTAGTAACATATTTTAGCTATTTATTCCTTAAACCAGCAAACAGATAAGTTCTCTACCATACTTAATAAGAGGAAGCTGCATACTCACTAGTAAATTCAAAGATGTGAGACAATAATTTCATGATTTATTATTTCCTTGACATCAGATAATACCTTCAATCATAAAGAAAAGCTCAGTTATATTAATATGCTCAAAATTCCACAGGAAAATTATTGATTCTTTATTTATCTTCATAGACTTTAATCAAACGAGTTTTCGATGAATAGAGGATATCAATTAAACAAAAATATTTCATATATTTTTAGGTTAAGTATCAGTATGATTCATTGAAAAATTGTTTACTGCATAACGTAGATACAGCCTTTTCCATTTTTGGAAGCTTATCTATCTGTAACATAAGCTAATACATTTAATAGAACAAACTGTAATCAGTTACCATAACGCTTTTCTCCAAGAGGTATCTGATTACCCATAACATATCTTGACTGACATTCACACATGGATCTAAACTGAAATCCTTGAATTAGAGAACACGACTGGTATAGCGAAAACTAGCAAGTTGATGGAAGGGGCAGGGCAGCAAAGACAGGACTTCCCTCACGTGAATGTACACAAGACAGAGGTGAGGATGATACCAAACCAACAACAGCAACAACAAACACCAATCACCATCAACAGAACGAACTTGAAGGAAGTAGCCTCCTTCACCTACACCTATCTAGACAGCACTGTTTCAACTTCAATCACAGGCAAAGACGGGGACGTCAAAGCCAGCAAGCATCGGAGAAGATGCAAGACAGGCGTTCATTAGACTGAAATCAGTGTAGGGATCTACTGCACTCAGCATAAAGCTTGAACAACAACCCGATTTTCAACACTAATCCAGTCAAGTCGGTGCTTCTATATGGTTCAGAAACTTGGCACGTCACCAAAAGCATTTCCATCAACAACTGCCTACGCTAGCTCGTTGCTGAAGCTCATGATGGCCAGAAAGAATAAGGATGGGCATCCTGGATTCCACTGATAGCCACCGCTCATCATTACTATACATACTTAAAACACAGGCAATATCGAGGCATCCGCCTAGGAGCCCATATGCCAATATAGACTGATCAATTCGGTCCAATCAACGGTGGTGTCATACAAGCAATAACCCTAAAAATCTAATTATTTATGATTTAAAAATTTCTTTTTTTCTTATTTACAATAAATAGCTTTACCCGGGGATCCAGTAATCATTGACTGGGATAAATCTATGAATGAATCAACTGGTTTATTTATTGGATCTACATTTGAAGCCACATGTAGAATTACTCCACCTGGTAATCCACCTGGTATAGTTATCTGGAGATTTGAACATCCTTATAACTCACTAAAAACAGATGAATTTAATCTTTTTAAAAATGATCCAATGAAGTCAACTATTAAAACTGTTATTTCTATTCCCAATGAAAATATAATCAATCAAATTACAGATGAAAAAATTCTTAGTCGAATAAAAATATCTAATTTGAATTCTACTATGCATGGATTAAATTTAGTATGTGCAGTTCGACATCAAATTGGTCCTGAAAAGACAACTAAAAAACAAATACATATACATCGTAAGTTGATTAAGTATATCATATACCAAAAGTAACAAGTTTTATACAAGTTAGTGAATTATTTCTTTATAAACAAACACATCAGTTTCATGTTTTCTAGTTTGCCACCTTTTTTTAGAATGAAATTCTTGTAACAATTATAATATTATTTCAAGTTATTATTCATCGAAGACTGACATCAGTTGGAGGAACAAAGGAAACCTGGGAGCACTGGACAGTTGTTTCGTCCAACTAGTACGGGACTCCTCAGCAGTGCACACCCACGATCGTGAGGTAACAGAAGTTGGAAATATGGACCATTGGATTCTAACTCAGTTTCTCAATGGTAACGCGCTGGTCGCAGAACCTGAAAGTCGCGGGTTCAGTCCCTACTGGTGGGGTGGTGGGTGAGCACTGCTGAGGAGTCCCATACTAGGACGAAACAGCTATCCAGTGCTCCCAGGTTTCCTTTGTTCCTCCATCTGATGTCAGTCTACGATGAATAACAACTTGAAATATTTCCATATCTCCACAACTCTCTCAAAATATAATATTATTCACTAAGTCTAAAAAGTTTGTAATAACTTTTCACATTAAAAGATGGGTTGGTGAATTTTGGTTAAAAGTATAGTTTAAGGGATATTTTAGTCAAATAAAGGCAGTCGACTCGATGCCTTGCGCCAAGGTTATATGCTTACTGTCACTCATTAACAAGAGATAGGTTCAAGTTCAAGATTAAGAATAACATTGAGAAGTTCAAATTCTCATCATCCAGTGTTGTAATCAGAGATGTTATCATTCAGCTATTAAAAGCAGTAATCAACTTCATGTTAGACCGGATTAAATACACCGATTGGTAACTGAAGAGTAACCATTTCGATGATCAAATTAGGTCAATCATTTTGTAGTATATTCATCAATGTAGAATAATATATAGCAAACATTTTCCTAGAATCTCTGAACAAACTACTGGATTCATATATCACCATTAAAGAAATACTTGCCTAAAAATTAACTGAACATGATTTCATATCACTTAAATCACATACTGTACTTCAAAATACGGAAACCACTATTCTCCATCTGGAATAAACCAAAGTTTATATACCGTTTAACAAAGAATTCAGGTAATTATGCTTTAATAATAATTATGATGGCTTTATTTAAAAGTATATTTCAGGAATACTGTACATGATTTTCAGTATCTCATATGGCATCAAGTGGACAGAAATAGTATGTATATATGTATACCTAATGATCATGCAACAGTGAGGAGAGAGTAGAGAGGGATACACTGCACCACAGGAAAGAACCTAGAAGTTTTGGATTTCACCGATGACTTATGTCTGATGTCACACAAACTCGAAGATCTATAGGCGAAAACTAACAAGTGGATAGAAGAAGCAGGGCAGCAAAGACAGGACTTCCTTCACGTGAATGTACACAAGACAGAGGTAATGATGATACCAAACCAACAACAGCAACAACAAACACCAATCACCATCAACAGAACGAACTTGAAGGAAGTAGCCTCCTTCACCTACACCTATCTAGACAGCATTGTTTCAACTACAACCACAGACATAGATGGGGACGTCAAAGCCAGCAAGCATCGGAGAAGATGCAAGACAGACGTTCCTTAGAGTGAAATCAGTGTGGAGATCTACTGCACTCAGTATGTGGAACAAGATGCGGATTTTCAACACCAATGTCAGTCAAGTATGTCAGTGCTTCTGTATGGCTCAGAGACTTGGCGCGTTACGAAGGGCATTTCCAACAAACTACAGACATTCATCAACAACTGCCTACGCTGACTCGTTATTCATACTGAAGATCAGATGGTGAGAAAGAATCAGCAACAAGGAAGTCACTCTGACTGGTAACGAACCAACCAAAAAGCAGTCACTCAAGGAATATGAACTGGAAGGAAGTGTAGATGGATTGGATTGGGTATACATTGAGAAGGCCAACTGGGGATATCACGCAGCTGACCAGACCCCGGAGTGGAACCCAGATGGGAAACGACGAGTTGGGCATCTGAGTTGAGGGTGACATGGAAGAGATGGTGTGAGGGAGAAATGAGAGGTTGTTGGCTGTCGTGGAGTTAGGTTCAAGGGATTTCAGAGAGTAGAGTGAAATGGAGATGTGCTAGTGAAGCCCTATGTTCCACTAGGAACCCAAGGGATAAATAGTAATAATAGTATACCTAATGAAATGATTACAAATAAAAGATAAGAATATATACTCTTTCTACAATTTTCTTGAAAATGAAAAATTAATTGACGTAAACTATCATATTAATAATTAAATTCATAGTATTTAAGTAACCGCAAGTTGTTTGCTTTAAAACAGTTGATTATCTAGTTTATTTCCAACACTTTCTTACTTGCACAGGATACGAGCTAAATATCGTATTATAGAATTCGTATATTTAGTAGCACATGCATAAAGCCTTATATACTCATTCCTGGTTTTGCCTGACAACCAATAAGTAGAGAGTATTGAGTGAACAGTATTCTCGGCATTTGATAAAATAACTCCTCCTAGATGTTTAGATGAGTAAAGATGTTTGTTTGTAACAGTTTCAAAGAGAAGGTTTAGAGTTATACCATCAATTCTGTTGATAATCTTCAAAGTTCGACTCAATACAGTATAGTCTTTTTCAGCAAACCATGAAAGAGTAAAGGGGAACAACAGAGGAGAATAGTGAATATACAGATCATAAAACACATGAGAAGAGGTTTTTTAATATTGAAACTCGGGTAGAAAATTCCTTTGAAAATTAGTCAGACATGGGAGGGCCAGTATGTGTCCGAAGAAAAACACGCACTGAGATAATCACACTTGTGACATTCTCTAATACACAACTATTGATAGGACAGGAATCATGAGATCTAAGCAGTTTACATAAGTTATATTTGCATCTGAAACTAAAGTTTATAGTCCAACATCTTGAAGAATTGAACACATGAAGTCCGTAGCTGTTGGTCTGAGCCATCAAGAGTCCCCAAGACAAAAACAATCAGTGGATGACAATTCTTGGTGAACTGGCTGCGAAATCGGTTACATCTTCTAAAGCTTGACTTTTCTCACTAACCGTTATGTTCAGATTGCTTTTTTTCCAACAAAACTTTGTATACTTTGATATCAGTCTTTTTCTATACACCTGTTCTCTGAAAACTACTACGAAATGTGGTAACTTGAACAAACTTATTTTGCTTACGACATTGTACATTGATTTTGTTCATCAGTCTGTCTATTTCTTCGGATAGGTTTTACCATAAAATATGCTTTATTTCGTCAAGACTGCTTAGTGTAGTGGAAAGAGGAAGAAAATAGTTTTCAACAAAATAAACATTTTGCATAATTAAATCATTTAAAAACTTATTTCACATTTTTGAAAAACACTGAACATACAAGTGATAACTTTAGTATTCAATATAACCCATAAGTGTAGTTTGAATGTGTAGTTAACATGCATTAGGCGTTCCCTATCTACGAATGAACAAAGTGATTATTTTACAGAGATTTCACTGAATTGGAAAGAAGCAACAAAGAAACATCTATTTATTCTTAGTAGCTCATCAAGAAATATATTTACGAACAAGCTGAACACTTACTTCTTCCTCCAGTGTTGATTAATGGGTTTACTACAAAACCTATATTACACTTCTAAGTTGAGTATAATTTATGCTTCAAGGTTTAATCGGCATATACTTATATTCACAAAGTGAAATAATTTCTTATCAGAAAGTCATTACAATTATCTGAAAGGATCCATTAGACATAAAGTAGATTTCGCATATGTATGTCTTGATAACTTTTGTTTAAATACTCTCCAAATTCGACAGATTTCATAATGATATAAGATAATTCAGTGAAGAATCATTCTCAAAAACTGTACAATGTAATCATAATTACATAAGAAATACATATTCCAAGTTGCTATTCATTGTAGACTGACATCAGTTGGAGGAAAAAAGGAAACCTAGAAGCACTGGACAGCTGTTTCGTCCTTGTATGGGACTCCTCAGCAGTGTCCACCCATGAACCCGGACCACCGGGGATCGAACCGGCGACCTTCAGGTTTCACAGCCAGCACGCTACCATTGAGCCACTGAGTCAGAATCCAATGCTCTATATTTCCAACTTCTGTTAGCTAACGCTATAGCTCTACCACCATCCAATGTCATCGTTGAGTAACTGTCCTCACCACCATCAGGCTTTAGCTGCACCGTTCACGACATCCTATACCAGAACGAAACAGCTGTCCAGTGCTCCCAGGTTTCCTTTGTTCCTCTAACTGATGCCAGTCTACGATGAATAATAACTTGAAATATTTTCAGCGTGGAGATCTGCTTCACTGTACTGCACTACACTGCACTGCACTCAGCATGAAGCGTGAACAACATCCGGATTTTCAACACCAACGTCAGTAAAGCCAGTACTCCCATGTGATGGTTGAGAGACTTGACGCGTCACTAAAACTATTTCCAACAAACTGCAGTCATTGATCAACAGCTGCCGCTCATGCTCACTCGATACTGAAGATCAAATCAAATGTCCAGAAAGAATAAGCAACAAGGAACTCACTATGGCTGGCAACGAACCAACGCAGCAAGAACCCATCACCCAACAAACATGCAGAAGAAAGTGGAGATGGATTGGATTGGACATACACTGAGATAACCATTTGGAGACATCACACACCACGCCAGGCTGTCAAGTGGAAGCCAATTGGGAAACGACGATTTGGCCATCAAAGGTGAGAGTGACGTGGAGTGGATGGTGTGAGGAAGAAATGAAAGCTTGTTGGCAGTGGTGGAGCCAGGCTTAAAAGAGTGCAGAGGCGTAGTGGAATGGAGGCGTGCTACTGAAGCCCTATGTTTCACTAGGAACCCAAGGAACAAATAATAATATAATAATAATGGGACAACGTTTAGCTAATCTTCGATGTTCATTTAGTCTTGCCTTCAAAGATCTTTATGTTTATCCTACATAGCTTGTTCAGCAGTCTGCTT